GAAAAAAATATGCATGCATAACTAAGAACCTAAATAACACTACTTTTCTGTTTGAAAGGGAGTAGGAAGAAGTGAACACTTAAAAGTTGCTAAATGCTAGCTAAAAGGCTAAAGGCCAGCTAAAAGCTAGCAGTAATCATATTTTAAAAATAAAAGTAGCAAAACAGCTAGCTAAAAGAAGCAAAGGTGCTAGCTAGCTAGCCTGAAAGCTAAAATGCGGAAAGTACAAAATGCTAGTTAAAAAGCTAAAAATGTAAAAAAAAAGAGACAAAAAGCATTGATTTAGCTAAAAGAAGCAAAAAATTGCTAAATACAAATGGTAGCAAAATGCTAGCTAAAAGTAGCATAACYATAGCATTATACTGTTACTATTTATTATAAAAGGCCAATTAAAAGCTATCCATTATTAGCAAACAGAAGTAGCAAACAGCTAGATAAAAGAAGAAAAAAAAACTTGAAAAAGCAACCGCTAGCTAAACGTATTAAAAGATTAGAAGCGGCAGAACAGTAGCTAAAATACTGAGATTGTTTAAGCCAAAATCAGACAGCTTAAAATATCCATGTGTATGAAGAAATCATTTGTAAATAAAGTTAAATGTTTTGAATTTAAAGTAAAAAAAACAAACAAAGTCACAGCAGCCATGAGCTGAAACAGGTCAAAGAGTTTAACTCCAATAAACCATGTAAAGTTAAAGCTGCAGCCACGGTGGTAAACCCAGGCAGGGACACACCGGGGTCATCGCCTTCGGTTGGACTTTTTATTTTTTTCCTTTTGAAAGAACTGGTTGGATGCTAGCGCTTCAGCTCGCGACCAATCGGAAGTGAGCATTTTTCGCGCTGGTCTGACTCCGGGTTTGAGTTTCCCGCAAGCTTTTTCCGACTCGGTTTGAATCAATTCATTCGCCTTACAAGATGTTTACGACTATTTTCACCCTTTAGCTTCAGCGGAGCAGATCGGACAGGTGAGCGCCGTCAAAACGCCTCTTATAAAGGGACTAAAGCGGCAACATTAGCGGAGACTAGTGTTTTTAAAACATTTCTTTGAAAGTGAACCCAGCTCAGACCGACCTTCCATTTTAGCGAGCGAGCTAGTTAGCTAGCTATGCTAACCGTAGAATGTGCAGATAGACTTGCATTTTATGCTACGATGGTTAGCTTTAGCATCTTTGGCTAGTAGTGTTAGCTCTTTCGGAACAAACTGTCATGTCGCCTCTGATTTTATTATATTTGTGAAACAATTACCAAACAACTGAAACAAGTTGTCTTAATCGGGACCAGATTAGTTTTTTTTTTTGCATGTTCGCTTGGTTCATCTTGCTCAGTCTGTATTTAGCATTTTGGAGTGGCGGCTTTGTCTATTTGCTGGAGTTCTATTTTAATGGCTGACTGTGTGGATGTCAAGGAGCRTTTGTCCGTAGCTTCAATTCATCGTGGGCTTTCGCTCCAGGTGATAGACGGAGCCTGTTTTATTTCATGGCATAATGATGAAACTAAAGCTGTTGTTCCGTGCCAGCCGGTCGTAAATATATGTTGTCGTGTTGCAGCTAATGATTCAGACTTGTCAGCCGGTGTCGCCCGGTCCGATTCGGCTTCTCTCATCCGGGCATTGATGTGATGGAGGCTGCCTCTGCTACGTATTATCCGCAGTCTCCGTCTAATACCTGGAGATGGTTCATTCAGCACAAATATAGCCTCGTTTGTTGTAATTCATGTATTTGTGCGTGTAAACAATAGATTAACAAATAAAACTTTATCTATGAATCTGCATTCAAATTAAAACAGCAAAATGTAAAAGGACAGCAACAAAAAAATTCATAAATGGTAATTTAAAACAAGCTGGAACAATTTTAAATAGTTAAGTGAGAAAAAATATTAACAATAGGTACAAATTTGCAAAACTAAGTCACCTAAAAAATGAGTTAAAGAAAATAAATAGGTCGACGTTGCAGCTAGTATTGATTCATTGCAAATGCAAAATTAAGACTTGAGTTTAATCAAAAAGTTCATGCGTTAAATAGTCCAAGAGATATATCACGTTTATCTGCATAAAAAAGTACCAGCAATTTTGATGGTTCCCCATTAAACTACGTCCCTTCCAGGAATTTAAAAATAATTTCTTACAAAATTTCTCCATGGACACACAAAGTCAGAATTCAAGATTAATGCTAAAAATCATAGTTTTGACTATGTCTATATAATATCTGACCATAATTGCCAGATCTTTTGCTTCAGATCTGTTTATTTTGGTACCAAAATGTTAAAAACTGCTTGTTTAACTGATTGTTTAACCAGGTAACTAATATTGAACCTATGAAGTTGACATCCACAAAAAGTGTCAATTTCCTAAACTGCACCAAAAATATCTTCACGCACTCTACTGGTGCAGTTTGGTGCCAGTTTAGGAAATACTGACAGAACAGTTGGGGAAAGTGCATGACCCCCCCCAAAAGCTCAAATTTAGACACTTTATGGCCCTTTTCATGGATGCCAGCTGTAAATGGCTTCAAATGTTCAGTATTAGTCACCTAGATTTAGTTAAACAGTTTTTAATATTTTGTTACCAAACAAAAAAACAGATCTGAAGCAAAAGATCTGGCGATTATGGTCAGATATTATATAGACATAGTCAAAGCCATGATTTTTAATTCCTGGAAGGGACGTAGTTTAATAGGGTACCATCCAAATGGCTGGTACTTTTTATGCAGATAAACGTGGTATATCTCTTGGACTAAAAAGTTTTGTCTCTTGTCCTGCAGCCTTGTGAGCCTGGAGGGGTTTGATGGGATGGACAGCATCGGTAGCTCCTTGCCTTCAATGCCTGAACCAGCCAACCCAGTCAGCATGAAGCAACCGCCCGAGTCCTTGAGCGTAGGAAAAGGCCACGGGGACATCGGCAGCGATCCGGCTCTGCTGATGGACAAAGCCGCGGCGCAGCTGGCCGTCACGCTGCAGGATGGCGTCCTCCAGAAGATGGCCGGCCACAGTCCTAACCACAGCCAGGACCGGCTCAAGGGCCTCACCTCTCTGGTGCTAAATGGTGACCAAGAACCGCTGTCCAAGCTCTGCACTCCTGAGCCGCCMGTGCATAAAGGCGCCGAAGCCCCCGCCACCAACGCCACCCATCAGCTCAACTGCGAGCCCCACGCCGAACCCGAGCTGAAGGTGATGATCCCCCAGGTGGTCAAGCAGCCGTCGTTTGAACCGTCCTCTGCTAACGGAACCAGCCTGGTCGCCGTCACTGAAGGTGCTCTGTCTGCGCACAACGAAAGGCAAGATGTGAAGAAAAGGAAGGGGAGGCTCCACAAACCCAAACCTCCTCCTCCTCCTCCTCCTCCGAGCTGCGGCTCCTCCGTCGTAGCTGCGGAGCCTCCGGACCGAACCGGAGCGGCTGATAAGGTTTTAATTTCACTCACGCTGCTAAACAAATCTGTTAAAGTGAACCCTGACGAGCTGTAACAAGTTTTATTTCAACTGTAAAACAAAGACTGTAAAAATACTGTGGGTTGTTTAGTTTCTATAAATTAAAAAATATGTGTTGTCACATAAATGGCAACATAAACTTTTATGCTGCAAAGCATTCTGGGTAAATGATGAACTAGGGGCTCCAGTGTGAGAGCYAATGGAAGGAGAGCCTCAGCTTAGCAAGTTAGCTTTCAAGTTAGCCTCAGAGCTAATCTTTATATATATATATATATATATATATATATATATATACATACAAAGGGGTGCAACAATACATGTACCCGTATCGAACCGTTCAACACACCATGTATGGAAAAATACTGATTTTAAAATTTATTTTATCAACTTGTCTTCTGAAGATGCTCTGTGTTGAAGGATCAGTGGATCTGTGTTCGACTACTCCACCTAGGCTGCTCTGTGGAGCACAGATCCAACAAGAAACTTGCTGTTTCAGCAACATTTAATTTAAAAACTGAACTTTTGAGGTTAAACAAATGTTCATAATTAATTTAAATAAATTACAAGTTATGAAGGCCACAAACATTTCTCTTTTTTGTATTGAAAAAATATCGAACTGAATCATGAATCTTATGTATCATTGCACCCCTGATAACTAAATAAATAAACATCTATCTATAGCATTAGCTCACAAGCTAATAATTATGTGTGTGCTAATGTGAAAGCTAACAATTACATTTTTAATCTCAGAAGTTTAAACATTTGACAGAGCAGGAGCAACAATAGTTAAAAGAGTAAGTTTTGTAGGTTTTTCCTTCATCGATCTGTTTGTTTCGTTCTTCCAGCCTGTTGTTGTGTCCGGACCGACGGAGGACGCGGGAGACGAGTCTCCTCCACAGACCCGGTTTTCTGTCGGGGATCTAGTTTGGACCAAGGTGTCCGGTTACCCCTGGTGGCCCTGCATGGTGACCACAGACCCCGAGTTCAGCTGCCACGTGAAGAAGAAACAGAAAGGTGAAAACTTTAGCTTTAGAGCTGAGGAGTGAGCTAATGCCTCCCAGGATGAYTYSACCGTCTSTTGTTGTCTTTTTGGAAGCAGCTAACAGCAGGCTGGGCTGCGTTTACCACGTGCAGTACTTCGGAGACGCTCCTGAGCGAGGCTACGTCTTTGAGAAGAACATGGTGCCTTTCACAGGAGAGGATCAGTACCTGGAGCTGAGCCAGAGCAACAAGCAGCCGGCCTCCTGCGGCGCACACAGAAAGGTGAGTCAGTTACCTGTGGGACGCGTGTTGGTCTCGTTGTTCGGGAGTTGTAAACAGTTTGTAACACGTGTTCCTGCAGACGGACCCCTCTGTTCCCCGGAAGCTCCGGGCTCAGTGGAACATGGGCATCATTCAGGCCAGGGAGGCCCTCGGCCTCTCGCCGGAGAGGCGCCTGGAGATCTTCGGCTTTCGTTACGACGAAACCGGATCCCACCTGAACCCGCACATCCTGGAGAAGCTGAAACCAGAACAGGGCGACGAGACGGGGCGGGAACCAGAGTCCAGACCAGGTCCAGATCTCTCCTCCCTGCTGGTTAGTTAGTAGTCGTGTAGAAACAAACCTGAACCTGGGTCGCTTTAAACAAACGGATGAATCAGATATTATTGTAAAATGAGTTGTTTAGCTGCTGATAACTAAACAATAATAATAACTTATTGTTTAGAACTAAAAGTCTGCAGTATTTGTGATGAATGAGTGAATCAGCTGGTGACGTCTTTCCGTTTTCTCACTGATGATCCAGTTGTGGAATTATTTCTTTACGTTTCAGAGCCTCGCAGCTTCTGCTCCGGACAAGTGGGCCGAACCGATCGTACGCCTGAAGAAAATCAGACGCCGCAGAGATGTCCGGCCTCCCGCCAAGCCGGGCGCGAGGAAGAAGGCGTCGAGCAGGACCGGCGACCTCGTGAAGAAAACCAAAACGAGGCCGGCCCCTTCCTCTGACATCGGTCCGGACGGAGGGCCTCCTCAGGTTTCATCTCCAGGTYGGTTCAGAACTGAAATCTCTGTAGAAGATTACTCAACAAAAATCACATTTTTCCTTCATGCAGCAAAGAGTTAAAGCATTTATTTCACCCAATAAGTAAAAAGAAAAGTTAATTTCTTTAAATAAAATGTTTACAAATGAAAAACGTTCCTTCATACGTCAGTTTATCTTCTCTGTCAAACGTCACTGGAGACACTTGAGTGAGTATTTATGAGATTAACTGTTTTATTTGAACTAAAACCAACAAGCTTCTCTGTTTTTAAATGAAGTGAAAAAGGAGCGAAAGAGAAGGACTAAAAGGTCGCTGACAGACAGCGAGACGGAAAAAGATCAACAGCCCAGAAAGAGGCGTAAAACCAGCAAAACCACTGAGAAACAGGTAAAGTTTTAAAAGTTTTAAACTCTGCGCTTCAGGTTCTTTCTTAAGACAAATGACTGAGTGAAAGTTTTACTGTCCAAGGCCTCAATTTTAGAAGATGGAAGCAAAAAAAGGAGGAAGAAAACCGAGCAGAACGGCGCGAAGGAAACGAGAAAATGGACCAAGAAGCCGAAGGTTCCTCTGAACGGTAAACAGCCGAACCTCCGAGTGTCCTCGTTTTAAATCAGCTCAAACTCAGAACTTTCTTCAATCTTTGTCAGTATTTACTGAAAAATATCTTATAACTAATTATTCTTATAGAAATACAAATTGACCTTTTCCAAATTATGTTGTAAGAACAAATATAACCTAACAAAAGGTTAAATGAAGACTTTATCATGTTTGACTCTATTAATGTTGTTTTTTTATTATTTAGATACATTTTCTATTATCCTTATTCCTCAGTGGGGAAATTAATTCTCTGTATTTTTCATCATAGCATCGGTCTGGGAG